GTACTTCAACAGAGTAGGATTACATTGAGCCTGCTGGAACAACACCATCCACTTCTGTAATTAGTGTCAAATCCACAATTAAAACGTCTCAGAATTGTTTTTATAGTTTGAAAATGGACTGTAAGCAATAATTATCAAACATGAAAATACTCATTTAATTTCATTTCGTTCATGACAAGTTATATAACAAGATACTCGGAGACAATTGTATATATAAGTACATACAAAAATAAAAAATAATAATTTCCAGTTGAATGTAGAAGTGTGCGTGAATATAAAAACATTTATCCCACCCCTTTTTTCAAATGACAGCTTCAGATAAATTATTATTCACAAATAAAACTTGAAAAAACAAAAACAATAGTTGTGTCTAAATAAAAAGCACTCATCCATTCACACTCTGATAATTCTGACATGGACTCTTTTAAACATATCTAAACTGTTCCACAGACTGAAAGACTAAAACCTGTCCTTATGAATTTAGAATTTAAAACATACTGCTTAGTAATGTGAAAAATATAAACCTTCTACATATTTCTCAAATGGCCCGTATCTGTTTTGACAAATGAACCTGAACTTTTGAGTTGGAATGGATGGTAGATTAATGCCTTCTCCATGAAAGCCACCACAGAAAACCACGTAAGACTGCGCTGAAGCCGGTCTGAAGCCGGTCTGGAGCCGGTCTGGAGCCGGTCTGAAGCCGGTCTGAAGCCGGTCTGGAGCCGGTCTGGAGCCGGTCTGAAGCCGGTCTGAAGCCGGTCTGAAGCCGGTCTGAAGCCGGTCTGAAGCCGGTCTGGAGCCGGTCTGAAGCCGGTCTGAAGCCGGTCTGAAGCCGGTCTGAAGCCGGTCTGAAGCCGGTCTGAAGCCGGTCTGAAGCCGGTCTGAAGCCGGTCTGAAGCCGGTCTGAAGCCGGTCTGAAGCCGGTCTGAAGCCGGTCTGAAGCCGGTCTGAAGCCGGTCTGAAGCCGGTCTGAAGCCGGTCTGAAGCCGGTCTGAAGCCGGTCTGAAGCCGGTCTGAAGCCGGTCTGAAGCCGGTCTGAAGCCGGTCTGGAAGCCGGTCTGGAGCCGGTCTGGAGCCGGTCTGGAGCCGGTCTGAAGCCGGTCTGAAGCCGGTCTGAAGCCGGTCTGAAGCCGGTCTGAAGCCGGTCTGAAGCCGGTCTGAAGCCGGTCTGAAGCCGGTCTGAAGCCGGTCTGAAGCCGGTCTGGAGCCGGTCTGGAGCCGGTCTGAAGCCGGTCTGAAGCCGGTCTGAAGCCGGTCTGAAGCCGGTCTGAAGCCGGTCTGAAGCCGGTCTGAAGCCGGTCTGAAGCCGGTCTGAAGCCGGTCTGAAGCCGGTCTGAAGCCGGTCTGAAGCCGGTCTGAAGCCGGTCTGGAGCCGGTCTGGAGCCGGTCTGAAGCCGGTCTGGAGCCGGTCTGGAGCCGGTCTGAAGCCGGTCTGAAGCCGGTCTGAAGCCGGTCTGAAGCCGGTCTGAAGCCGGTCTGAAGCCGGTCTGGAGCCGGTCTGGAGCCGGTCTGGAGCCGGTCTGGAGCCGGTCTGGAGCCGGTCTGGAGCCGGTCTGGAGCCGGTCTGGAGCGATGGCTTTGACACTGGTTTGAACCGCAGCCTGAATGTGGGTCACACACGTCCGATCAGCCGTGCATTCAGCCGCGTGGCGCACGGGCCTCATCTCTGCGTCATGAAATATTTGTTCGAATCTCCAGCACAGGAGGTCATGGCACTGTAACGCTGTGCAAGTGTGTCCCAGAGGGGGAGGGGGACTGGCTTGGATCCAATCTAATATTTGCACCTAGTTCTTGTTTTTCAGATTTTAGATTTGTTTCCTTATTATGCTAAAGATAGAGATTTTATAGATTTTATATTATTTCATTCAGAGTTGTTGTTCATTTATCTTGTGCTGTGTGCTCTTCATTCCTACTGCTCTGTAACTTGTGATGCAACACTGAAATTTCCTCACTGTGGGACGGATAAAGGATCTCTTCATCTTAATCTTAATCTGTTGAATATTTCACTTTTTATGACCCTCATGTCGCCAATCTGCATATTTTATCTTTAACTTTGAAACATAAATAGTCAGGGATGTTATAAATATTTTAAAGCTTGTTCTTTCAAGAAAATAACCGTGTATGAATGAATTGATAATACTCGGCCCATCAGTCTGCAATAACACGCCTCTGTTACTTTTGGTATAATTTTGCTTCAGTCCAAACATGTGCTCATATTGTTCAGAAATATGTCAAGTTCAAGTTGAATCCTAGAAACTATTTGGTCAAAAATACCTACATAATGTAAAAAGACTGGAGTGAAGAATAAAGCAGTTGTGGCTCCACTGAATCCGAGGCAAGTCCAAGTACGGCCTTTAGACATGAATGAAGACCCATTTGTTCTATATTCTCCCAGAACTATTGTGTACAAGCTTTTGCCCGATGAAATTAACAATGTTTTTATCTTTTTTTTTAAACGGAAAAACCAAATCTGTTCTAACATTACCTTTGCATTCAGGCCGATGACGCGCGATGGCGTTTATGATGACGTACGTGGAAAGGAAAGTCCCGTATCAAAAGTGTCATGTCATTTTATGTTTATATTGTCATTTATTATACCTGGATGGTAAAACTATTATTGATAACAAAGATGAACGACATACTTTAAAGGAGACAGAGGCTGAAATGTGGATCCCCAGGAGGCCCCTGGCAACACTTTGGCAACCACTGATCTTCTCTCCTTGTACAAGTTTTTATTCCTCCATTTTCTTCAAGGAGAACCTTCTCTCACAACCCCACACTGACGCTGGCTCTCTTCCATCTCTGTATCTGCAGGACGATGCATGCACGCCTCTGTGGATGGCATCGGTAGTTTTTCGTCCCGGTTATATAACTGCGGACCCCCTTAAGCTTATCAGGAGGAGGTCACATGACTTCACTGGAGCCATCCCAACAACTAGGCCACTGTCTGATCGGCAATGATGTGATGAAATGGGACATATAAGGGGTATTTTTACAATCGAGAACTACTGTATGTACAACTAATGCTACTGGGGTGATGCAGCTTTTTACGGTTCTTTTGCTAGTTTGGTTATTCTAGTGATAGAGCTTGGGGTTTTGTCAAATTAAAGATTTAAATCTGGGACACCTAACTTTCAAACCACACAATGGAACTCTGTACAGCTTCTCTTCCTGGGGTTCGGGGTCTGGTTTCAAAATACCTCTATATTCACAGGATACAATTGTAAAAACATTCATGATACTAGTTTCAATGAATGAATGAAATGACACTTGTTAATTCTTTTTTATTATTCTGACACTGTAATTAGCGGTAGTCACTCAGCTGATTATGCGGGTGACTCAAGACTCTTTTGTGTATACTTTTGACATTTGTTCTCTATTTTCTACCCTGTGAAGCCATTTTAAAAGAGATGCAGACAGAATTGCTTCACAAAAACAATAATCTCCCCTTTCATTTTCCAGTTATCATTAAATCATTGCATTTTCTATTGGCCCACTAATCCTCGTTACACTGTTTCAATCATTCCAGGCTAAAAAAGCATGAGGTGAAATTCTACAGTGTTGCAGCTGGTTGTGTTCAGTATAGTTGATGAATATGCATATTTCACTTGAATGTGTCAAATACGCCTGATTTCTTTGTCCTTCAATTATTCCCTGGTCTTTTGCGCCCTCTAGTGACTCTTCTGCATATTGCAACATGAACCCTTTCTCCACACATGCTCTGGTTTTTACTCTGGCGCAATGATAATGTCATTTTCTGGCAACATTTCAAAGGTGAGGAGTGGAATTGTGTATTTAAAAAGGAAATGCATGAGTTACTATGTGTGATTTACTATGTGGCAGCGCATTCATTGTCCATGTACTGGCACCACAACAGCCTCTTCAGACTGTAAGGCTGTTTTACAACAACCTGCTCAGGGACTACAGGCGTAAATTAGGACGGCTGCTACAACCTGGTACAATGCATCTCTCCTTTTGGCTACTGATTACTGTACACTGTCCCTGGCAAAGCACAGAGAATCAGCTCCCCTCCAGTGTCATAGTGTAGAAGTGGTTGCAAATATATCGAAATAAGAATCATGTTGCAATAGTTGTTTTTTAGATTTGCAAGGTTTCAATACTGACTGTGACATTGATAGACAAAACTAATAGAAATAAAACTGACTCCTTTTACTCCATCTAGTGTCCACGCCACGACCTACTCCTCCATTGTGCTAACCTCACAGACAAGTCTTGTGTCTACAGCCTTACTACTATTACTACTAATATTGCAACTATATATGATTGGTTTTTATCGAAAGACAAAAAAGCTGCGCCTAACTGTTGACTAGCATGATCTTATTTCCAGAGAATCCCAAGTGGTCCACCCAAACAGGGCGAGAGAGCCCAGACATTCATTCATTCTTTTTCAATTTTACAAAGATTATAGAGGATTTGTATTTTAGTCTCCTCTCTTTCAATAATCTACTACTACAACTACTGCTACTGCAAGTTTATTTGAATAGCACAGTTCATACACAAGGCAACTCAAAATGATGAACAAAATAAGATTGGCATTAAAGGCATTAAAATAATAAATAATCACAGTACATTAAAGGAGTACAAATACAATCAGTTTCATGCATGGCTGAATAGAACTGTTTTTAACCTGAATTTGAACATTGTCACAGAAGAAGCCTGTCCTACATTTTCAGGGAGACTGCTGCATAAATCTGAAATGCTGCCTCCCTATGTTCAGTTCTGACTCTGGGCACCAGCAGTACTACTACTACTACTACTGTTGCTACTACTACTGTTGCTACTACTACTACTACTACTACTGTTGCTACTACTGCTACTACTACTACAGCTACTACTGTTGCTACTACTGCTACTACTACTGCTACTACTACTACTACTACTACTACTACTACTATTGTTGCTACTACTACTGCTGCTACTACTGCTACTACTACTTCATTGTCACCAGCCTCACTCTTTCCGCTCCTCTCTGTCCTCAGATGGCCGCGGGTCGGCGGTGTGCGACCGCTGCCTGCCGGCGTACACCGGGCCACAGTGCGCCCAGTGCAGCGCAGGCTTCTTCAGACGGGACGCCCTCTGTGTGCCCTGTGACTGCAGCGGCAACTCGGACCCCCGAGGGCCCCCCCAGATCTGCCATCCGCAAACAGGACAGTGTCTGAGCTGCATCAACAACACCACAGGACCCCAGTGCCAGCTGTGCACGCCTGGATACGTGGGAGACGCCAAAGCGCACAACTGCACACGGCCAAGTAAGGAAGAACTGCAGAGAATGTTGTTGATGTCTGTTGTGCTCTACATTTATCATTGTTTAGAGGTATCATAAAGTCTGCAGAGATAACCCAGCTCCAATTCACTTTCATTCAAATGTAAACGCCTTTTGGTGTTCTGTGAATAGTGGCATCTCTGACTGTCGCCCCCCGACCTAGAAATGATGTCAGACTCACCATTTTGCATGTTTTTTTATTGCATTCAATTACTTTGATGGGGACAAGTGGACAGAATCAACTGGTGAAACTCTACAACATTTATAGCCAAGTGCAATAAATGTTAAAGAGCTTTTACAACCGTTAAAACACATTCCATGAGATAAAATAATCTTTAGTCCCACAGTGGGGAATTTCCATCTCACATTACTGGACAGTGAGCACTAAAACAAGATCATCTAACAAGATAGATATTAGTTAAGGTAAAATAACATTAACGTGAAGGTAAAGTCATTGTTCCTGTATGAAAATATATCCCCTGCTTTTAGGGCCTCTGTCAGGAGCAGTGGTCGCCGCAACCTATTGTAAATTTTTTCAGTGGTAGGGGAAATCCACACAGACACTAGGAGAACATGCAATCTCCACAAGGACTGGTTTGACTACAATTTGAACCCAGAGAAGCTACTGTGCCGTTTATATATTATAGGAAAAATAAAGGTAAAAAACTATAAAATGGCTTCAGTTTGTGTTTTAAACCAGCCAAGTCCAATTTAGTTTGAGCTGAGGAGAAAAGAGTTCCAGAGCGCTGTCTTCCAGCCAAAAACATGGACTGTTTGAATATTGTTTTCTTGAGGGGCATTTCTAACACTTGGTCTAAAACTGGCCAATATGGTGCGTCCTAATTTGGTTTAAATTCTAGTCAATAGTTTGAACGGAATGGACTCTCCTTGTTTGTGATTGGCTCTTTGGAAAGAATTTGGCTTCAAATTCCAGTTTGTTGTTTTTAAATGTTGCATAGTTATTATAGTTATAGTAAATTATTATATTTTAATTTTTTTTGTCTGTATCCGCAAGAATTTTGCAAAAACAGACAAGGATTATTGCTGATCATTATCAATCGGCCCCGTAAAAAACTCAACAAACTCTACTATAGAATGATCAGGTCTGGGCCAGTTGGTTACTGGTTGTGGCACTGGTTATTCTCCATGTATGAGAAATTATTCCAAAAACTTCCAAAAATGTTTATTAGATGGTTTTCCATCACGTGCTTATTACCCATGATGCTTTGCGCGAACGGCAACATGCACAGATCATTTGTTCCCATGTCATCTAAAGCCATGAATTCGGCCGACACTGACCGCGTTGATTGTAATGATACACTGGAGTAATCTGTGAGGCTAGATCCTTGGAGAAATTGAGAGTGATCGTAGATTTTCACTTTTACAATAAAAAAGATCATGATGTGTATGATGCAATATTTCTTTCAATCAATAATTTATTTTGAACGAAGCAGTTGATATCACAGGCCGTAAATCACTTCTGTCTACCACCCTTTAAGAGATAAGATAAAGATAAGATAAACCTTTATTAGTCTCACAGTGGAGAAATTTCAGTGTCATCGTTGCACATTACAGCAGAGAAAGGAAATAATCAGACGCACACATCAAAGTCTATTATTTAAGATAAGACAATAAATTTAAGATAAAATAAAATAAAATAAGATAAACTCTGGGCTATAATTGCACTTGGTTCGGAGTATTTACATATGTCTATATTATACATTAGCAGCGGAGAATATGAGAATATGAATATGAGCAGAATAAACATCAGAAATAATATCAACAGGTAAAGTGACGGTGAAAGGCAGAATTATCAGATATGTAATACTGTAGTAGTACTGATAACAGTAAATATCAGATATGTAATACTGTAGTAGTACTGATAACAGGTAAATATCAGATATGTAATACTGTAGTAGTACTGATAACAGGTAAATATCAGATATGTAATACTGTAGTAGTACTGATAACAGGTAAATATCAGATATGTAATACTGTAGTAGTACTGATAACAGGTAAAGTGACTAGTGACAAAGTTACTAGTGAATTATCAGTGACACTTGTGTTACCTGTTACACATTCTCGTTGTACAGTCTGACAGCAGCAGGAAGGAAAGACCTGCGAAACCTCTCCTCCCCCCCCCCCCTCCTCCTCCTCCTCCTCCCCCTCTCATTCATTACTGAGGATCGCTTGAGGCCCATATATGCATGGTTTCACAGTCAAATGGCAGCTCTGAATATAAACCACACATGCACAGATTTAGCTCTTACCTGTTATGAAATGGTCAGAACAGACCTGATAGTGCCGTCTTTCAGGGGGTTAGGGTTGAATCCCTCTCGGTTGATCCTCGCCAACAAAAGGGTTCTCTTCTCCGTTGAGTTGCTCCCCTGGCTCGTAATGACCTTCGGAATGTCCCCACAATCTGCACGGGTACTGCACCCCCCAAACGACGCAGGCAGTCGGCATGTTTTAGCGCAAAAAAGTGAAAAAAGCTCCGCTTTGTTTACCTACAACTTGCGGCGGCTTGACTCGCACTATGGCGAACTTTGGAATCGTGGGTAGTGGGTGACATCAGTGGAAAACCATCTGTAAAAGAAATAATTACAAGAATTCTTCTCCCCATTCCACAAAACCCAAACCTTTGCACACACGTACCATCATGCCCTTTGGTGGAGGTAGCTAAGGTTTAGCTAAGGTGAATACATTGGACTTTGCATGATGCAGACGATAGGAATTTAATTTGTTCCACAGTAGGGAATAATTTAAAGTCCCTCAAATTAAACCTTACATTTTTTATAACAAACTAAAATAAATGTTGAGTCATCACTAATTTTTTTTTTTAAGTGATGGTCTGTAACTTTAAATGAATTGCAAATTTTAGGAAATGTGTTAAATTGACCTCCTGGCCTTAAATGTTGATATAAAATAAGTCATTTTATTAATTCTAATATTACAGGTAAGTCCCGCCTTCCCTTCTCTTAGCTATAGCTCAGAATCCACGGTGCCGTCCACGTTAACCAATCGAGTCATGCCAAGGGCTGTCAATCATCAGCGCTGATGCTCGCAGCTGCTCATGCTCAGTTGTTTGTTTTCGTGGAGCCTCCAAATCAAGTCTCCATTAGGCTCTGGAACTGCACTGATGTACTTATGTATATACTGAACCTATATCCATAATCATTTATATATGAACCTATATCCATAATCATTTATATATGAACCTATATCCATAATCATTTATATACTGAACCTATATCCATAATAATTTATATATGAACCTATATCCATAATCATTTATATATGAACCTATATCCATAACCATTTATATATGAACCTATATCCATAATCATTTATATACTGAACCTATATCCATAATCATTTATATACTGAACCTATATCCATAATCATTTATATACTGAACCTATATCCATAATCATTTATATACTGAACCTATATCCATAATCATTTATATACTGAACCTATATCCATAATCATTTATATATGAACCTATATCCATAACCATTTATATATGAACCTATATCCATAATCATTTATATACTGAACCTATATCCATAATCATTTATATACTGAACCTATATCCATAATCATTTATATACTGAACCTATATCCATAATCATTTATATACTGAACCTATATCCATAATCATTTATATACTGAACCTATATCCATAATCAGATATATACTGAACCTATATCCATAATCAGATCCTCTGCAGATGTGTATATAATAATAGCTTGTTCCGGGTTTGCCGAGATTACTTTTTTGTGTGCATAAAAACATTATTTTTTTCATTAAAACGTTGACAAATAATTCTGAAAACCTCCGTGCATGTGTATTAATAATGTATATATATAATGTGTTCCCTGAGAAACATTTAAAAGTGTTGCGGAAACGTAGGCGTAGACCAATCAGAAATGAAGGGGGAGGAGCTTGTGTCGTTTTTTTCAAATCAAGCACCTCTCTGTCTCTTTCTGACAAACTCCAGACAATCACTTTAACTTGCATGAACCTGCAAATCTGTTCCTCGCCCACCTCAAGTTTGTCACACAAGATATCTCTTTAATCATGACTCATGAATCATGAGGGAAACACCGGAGATACTATTGGTGTCTCAAACGCACACTTTTATATTTGTTTAAATGTTTTTGACTGAAGTTAGTTACTCATCCTTATAATATGCATGGGAGAAATGTCTAAATGTGGTAATGCATAAAGCCGGCGGAGGTCTTGTGGGGTATGTCTTGTTGACTCATCCCTCGTGATCTCTGGTGGTAAAATAAAACGCACAGAGCTGAAGCCACTAGAGCAGGGGTCACCAACCTGTTTGAGACCAAGAGCTACTTCTTGGGTACTGATAAATGCAAAGGGCTACCAGTTTGTTACACACTTACATAAATTGCCAGAAATAGCCAATTTGCTCAAATTACCTTTACCTCTGTTATTATTAATAATTAATGATATTTATATTTGTGGAAACACTGATCATCTTCATGATTTCTCACAATAAATATATATAGAAACAGATACATATCATTATGCAACACTTTATTTCTATATTTGCTCTAAGTTCACATTTTTCAAGTTCAACATTTTCAAATGATCACTTCTAAGACAGTCTCGTGAAATCACAATATCCCATTTTAACTAGCTAGCCACTACATTTTTTTTATCAAATCATGAATTACTTTGCACCATGTTTGTACAAATAATAACTGATGTAAAATACAAAAGTCAACTCTCAATTTTTTTAATAAATCACGTCACACGTGATGGCTATCTCACAGGAGTTTAGAAACCAAATCCCATTTACGCTGCTACTTTCTCCTCTTCAGAACAAAAACATGAACAGTTTGAGATCGTTACATGTGTTTCTACTGTAGGTTTATGTGACCGTTCTAAACTCATCGTTTCAACTCATTTAACTGTGATGCTGTGATTAAAGACACAGTTCTTGTTGGAAACATAGTTATGCAGGAGGAATGGAACAGACGCAGCTACGATTCAAACAAAGACAGGAACAGTGCAAAACAAACGACTGCACAGTTTATAAGTTTATATATATGTTAGATATGCAACAGTCTCCTGTATATCAGGCTCTGAGCCCAAACTACTTTTCCTTCGGTTCCTTCGAAGCACAAAGCTCTCTGCTCCATAGTCCCTCGTCCATGCTCCCTGCAGCTGCTCCGTGCTTCCTTCCAAAACACACACACGGACCAATCACAGCGGAGCTTCCTTGCGGTGACCCGCAGTAGTTCAAAAATGTTGATGCTGCGCGGCAGGCGACGTAAGGGCCTCGCGGGGACCAACGCGTTGCGCGAGTGACGTCACGTCACCTCCGTAAGCTCCGCGCCGCGCGAGTATACACTAACTAGTCTGAGTGCTTCTATTTGAGCTGTTTTTAGAACAGGCCAGCGGGCGACTCATCTGGTCCTTACGGGCGACCTGGTGCCCCCGGGCACCGCGTTGGTGACCCCTGCACTAGAGCAACAGAAGCACGAGGTCACAGTACTTTTTGGACTATTAAGGAGACTGCTATAAAAAGCGCACCAGCTACATCCATCCATCCATCCATTTTCTACCCTTTAATCCATTTCTGGGTCAGGGGGGTGGCAATCAGAGATGCCACCCAAGTCTCATAGCACCAGCCCCTCACTGACCCTCTGCAGGTGGTGAGTCCACAGGAGGACGGCTGCTCTCTGAGGGAGAGCATAGCCTTGATATTTCAGTGGGGGCTACACCAGCTACATATGAAATAAATTGCTTTGCCCAAGTGGACAAAATCTCTCATCATTCATGTTGGATTAGAATAGATTAGCCTTTTTTAATACGTTTACTGATCTTACATCTGAATTTATTCTTCTCTCATCAGATCCCCTGCTTCCTCCCACACCTGTCCAGACCACCACCACCACCACCACCACCACAGAGGCTCCCACGTCTCCCGCGACCAGATCCACTTCCGCCTCCACCTCTGGCCCAAAGGCGCTGCCCCCTTCCACCTCCAACACCTCGTCCTTGAGCCCGACCACCACCCAGGCCCTCCTCACCAGCCTTGGCAGCCCCACGGACAACACCACGGCCGCCCTCACCGAAGTCTCCTGGACACAATTCAACATCATCATCCTGGCGGTCATCATACTGGTGGTGCTGCTGCTGCTCGGCTTCGTGGGCGGGGTCTACACCTACCGCGAGTACCAAAATCGCAAGCTCAACGCGCCGTTTTGGACCATCGAGCTGAAGGAGGACAACATTAGCTTTAGCAGTTACCACGACAGCATCCCCAACGCGGACGTATCGGGTTTGCTGGAGGACGAAGCCAACGAGGTGGCCCCGAACGGTCAGCTGGCCCTCACGACGCAAGGGAACTGCTATAAGGCTTAGTTGGAATTAAAAAAACGTAAAACTGTAAATTATTATATCACTCAAAGCTGCTGGAAAAAGTTACCAAATTCAAGATGGTTCCCCAATAAAAAACGCTCAGTTTGCAAGCGTGGTCGGATATGATTGACGATTGAACTGGAGAGGCCCAATGGAACAGGACGTCTTGGAAAAGGAGCAAAGCATTTCACAGATTTTTTTTTTTTTTTAACTACTATTTTTAAGTTATAATTTCCATCACTTGAAGGAGAGTGAACTTAAGACAATGATTGTTATTTAATGAATTTTTATTATTTATTGGTTTCGCGTGAAATGCTGCACATGTACGTCAGCTCAATGGTGTTTTATCTTGTCCGAATGGGCCAAAATATGTTTCCTTGTAAAGTGTGTATGTGTGTGTGTGTGTGTGTGTGTGTGTCTTTTTGCGGAGTAATTTGGGAGAGGGGTTAAATGACGAGATGGACTTTTCTGGACTTTCACTCGCGTAGCTTCCAAGTTATTATGCGTGCCAGCTCGTTATCGAAGAGGAGTGTTTTGTACTGTTTCAAATACACCATCCACATAACGGCAGTGTGATTCCTGCAATGCTTTCAATACAATAATCGTTATCTAATCTGCTGCCTACCTCAGCCAACAGCCATCGTCGACTGTCATAAAGGCAAAACACAAACACCGCACACTGTTGTTATGGAGCCAGCACGTGCTTTCAAACTTCCCAATCATTTATCAACACACTTTATAGCTTACCGGATCTACAACTACATACGCGCGTATACATTGCGTCATTCGGGCGACCAGGTGTGATGCAAGCGAAAGTTGATAATCTCCTCAGGTCTGGCTTTGTTCCCAATGTGACCACTGTAAATACTTTGGCTACTGTACATACGGTTGTGAATAGCACTATTATTATTATTATTATTATTACTATTGTACAGCTATAGACTAAACGTGTGCCCACCGTCACTCGACAAGCACCCCCTTCATGTTGCGCACAGCTTTTCTATTTTTCACTCCTGTGTTGTCGTACTCCGCCCTCTGCTGATTTGCCATAAACTGTACACAGGATTACAAGGATTCCAATGGCTCAAAATGACATGCAAGATGATGTAAATAATGAGACTATGTCAACGCTCCAATAAAATGGGGTAAAACTGCTCCTTGTGTTGTGTTACTTCCTGGGCACGCAGTCACTGAAGTTATGGTTATTCACAACTGACACAAGGAAATGGAATGTACTGCTATTTCTTTTTTTGTGATCAATTTTTTTATTCAAGTATGACAATGTGTTTGACAATGTATTCGCATTTTGCACTGATTAGCATGCATCACACTTGACTTTTTATCCGCCTTTTAATCCCCATATCCCCTTTCCCTTGTGATGGGCAGAGAAGCTCACAATAAAAAATTGATGACTAAATAAATGAATAATGATTATAATAACAGAATAGTAAATTAAAATAACAATAAAAATAATGAAAAATAAAATAATAATCATAATAATACAAATAAAATGAAATAAAAGGTTCAAGACATCTAAAACAACATTTGTAATTAAAGGATAAAATAAAAATACATAAATACAATAAACAATAACCCTGTCCAGGTTTATATACAAAGACTACCAGCAATGAACTAATATTCACATATGCGAAGCAAAACATACAGTTGGGTAGATACAAAGTGCTGATTTCCTCCGTCAGAGACATCCACAGAAATAGCAGTATACATAACGACAATATGTAAGATTCAGCAATGACTACGCACAGTACATATAGTTATGTAACACATATTCACATACATCATAAAGACAATCTCAAATGCAACATGATTTATAAACTCAGGTCTAATCCAGTCTAATTGTATTTAATAGTTTGGACCAGCAAAAGATATTTTCAGTTTTTGCTCCATTAATTTTGTACTGCTATTTCAACCGAAGCATTTGTGTGGGTTACTCGGTTGACTTAAGTTGACAATATGCGGTACTGTTTAAAATGATTGTGTCAAGCAGGGTGTCCAAATTCATTCAAACTCCCTGCCATACAATGATTTGCACTATTTAGGCAAGGCAAGTAAAAAATCATAAATAATCACAGAACATTAAAAAGAAAGATAAAAATATAAAATCCCTCAGTTGTATGCACAGCTAAACAGAACTGTCTTTAACCTGGTTTTAAACATTGTCAGAGAGGAGGCCTGTCTCACATCTTCAGGAAGATTGTTCCAGATTTTAGCAGCATGAATCTGAAAAGCAGCCTCCCCATGTTTAGTTCTGACTCTGGGCACTAACAGGAGTCCAGTCCCTGTGCTCCTCAGAGTCCCAGCAGGAGTCCAGTCCCTGTGCTCCTCAGAGTCCCAGCAGGAGTCCAGTCCCTGTGCTCCTCAGAGTCCGGGCTGGTTCATATGGGACTAACATGTCACTAATATATTTTGGTGCGAGGCCATGGAGAGACTTGTAACAAGCAGAGCTGTTTTAAAGTCTATTCTCTGAGCCACAGGAAGCCAGTCCAGAGACCTGAGGACTGGACTAATGTGGTCGTACTTCCTGGTTCTAGTCAGGACTAATGTGGTCGTACTTCCTGGTTCTAGTCAGGGCTAATGTGGTCGTACTTCCTGGTTCTAGTCAGGGCTAATGTGGTCGTACTTCCTGGTTCTAGTCAGGACTAATGTGGTCATACTTCCTGGTTCTAGTCAGGACTAATGTGGTCGTACTTCCTGGTTCTAGTCAGGACTCAAACCCCTCTCTCCATTAGAAGTTGCTAGAACATAACTGTTATATACATTAGACAAGTTTCCTACCGTGGCCCTGCTTATTTTATGTAACGTTGATGATTTGACGGAATGAGCTTTGCAGAAGTTTGTGATGTATTTTTTCAGATGTCCACATTTGAGTCAGTGATTCTATTTATTTTTTACATAGAATAGAAACAAGGTGATAATTTCATATTGTCAACCAATTAAAAGTTGGACTTTTGCAATAAAAAGTAGTAACTATTTCAACGCTGCAATCATCACACTTTTTCTGTTACAAACTGACCCGGCCCCCATCGAAGAAGGGAAAAGTAATGTGGCCCTCACAGGAAAAAGTTTGGGGACCCCTGTTTTAGGGAAAGAGACTAGAGGTGACAGATGACACTCTCTCTTTGTTTCTGGGGACCAAAGACAATCATTTCAGTTTTGTCTGCGTTTAGCTGAAGGAAGTTGTTTTGCATCCACAGTGAGTCCACTGGTCCATGTTCTCCTGCAGTCAGTGAGACATAGATCTGAGTGTCGTCTGCATAGTTATGATAGGAAACTTCGTTTCTGCGTATTAACTGACCTAACGGCAGCATGTAGAGATTGAAAAGAAGAGGTCCCAGGATCGACCCCTGTGGGACTCCACAGGTCAGGGCCATATGATCTGAGACACAGTTTCCAATCTCCACAAAGTACTTCCTGTCCTCAAGGTAAGACCTAAACCAACTTAGGGCGGTGCCAGCGACTCCAACCCAGTCCTCTAGTCTCTGTAAGAGGATCTCATGGTCGACGGTGTCAAAGGCAGCACTCAGATCTAACAAGATTAAGATTGAGACTTTGCCTGCGTCAGTGTTCAGCCGGATATCGTTTGTAACCTTAACAAGAGAAGTCTCAGTGCTGTGATCTTATAATCAACCACCCACCAGAGTGGTTGATTATAAGAAATCTAGTAAGCTGTTGGTAGACAACTTTTTCAAGGACTTTCCCCATAAATGGCAGATTTGAGATGGGACGATAGTTGTTAAGTACCGTGGCATCCAGGCTGCTCTTTTTTAGCAGGGGCCTGATGACTGCAGTTTTCAGGGCCTTTGTGAATATTCCAGAATGAAGGGACATGTTTACTATCTCTGAGTGAAGGTAACGGACTGCTCAGAACAGACTTCAGAAATCTAGTGGGTAGTACATCCAGGCTGCATGTGGAGCTCACAAGCTCCACATGCAGCCTGGATGTATAATGATTTGTGATTATCTCTTGGACAGATTTTTTATCTACAAGTGCAAAGTGAGTTAGCTCAACGAGCCTTGCTGGCAGTTGGATTGTGTGGATTGGAGACAATGGCGTTTTTGATGCCTTGAACCTGCTCCAGAGTTACCATGTGGAGCATGTTAACACAGCTACTGGTCCTAAAGTCTTTTCAGCAGCAGGAAACTCAGAGTTCACTCAAAGTGAACCTAAACTTACACCAAACCGATACCGAACCAGACTCTTGGACGTTAGCCCGAAGCTACAATTTATTTATTTATTCTTAAGGATAACCCCTTGAGATGAACCATCTCTTTTTTGAGGGAGTCCTGGGACAACATGACAGAATCAAATATTTTATATTTTACAGGAAAAAAAAGGAACAAAGTTTCCAACAAATAACATCCACATTCATTCAACAGACTGAATGTCTGTTGAATGACTGTGGATGTTATTTGTGCACTTCCAGTGTCCCCCCTCAGCCCCCCACTGCTAACACTATCCAAGGGTTTCAGAGCTATATTAACTTGATTATAAATTGTAGAAGATTGAGAGCCCCAACCGTTGAATATAATCTTATAATTGTTTTCAACACAGTTAAAGTACACATTGAAAACATTATGTTAGAAACAGGCACATGATACATTTAGTCTTATGAAGAACTGCTTTAAACTGTGGCAGGGAGGATAGTGATCGCAGTTCCATGGGCAGATTATTCAGAATCAGAATCAGAATCATTTTTATTGCCACGTGAGTAACAAAGTTATCACTTGGAAATTGTCTTGGCAGAGAGCGTGCCACTTCGCCATTTGCGGCGCTGTGTGCAGCAAGAAACAGCAGAGAGCAATAACATACAGTTCACAGACAATTGGATAGACACATTGTGCTTTTTATAAACCACGGATTTTTTTCTCGGGATGAGCACCTCCGACTGCCTGCCCAATGTAGCTGTCAGAGGGGGGCGGGATCAGGGAGGGGGTGAGTAGGAAAACAATGAGGAATGGAGGGGAGGGAGGGAGCAAGATGGATAGGTAGAGGGAGGCGGGGGTGAGGGATCCTTGCTGGAGACTGAAATAGTGTGAGTTGTTGTAGATTGTGGGACCTTGTTTATGGCCTTGGGCGAGGAATGTGAGATAAGAGTGGAGAGAAGACACAGCAGGAGAAAAAACAATATAATATGCAATGTAGCATCAAAAACAGGCTATTAATTCCAATTAAACCGAATTACGGCGCCCTCAGACTCCGTACACAGGGGCAAATCCAAGCCGGGTCAGAGAGTTCAAGCCTGACAAACAATGTCATTCAATCTCAATTCCAGAGTTTTATGCCCATCGAGTGAACGAGCTGCGAGATCTTTGATCAACTGTTCCACCAACACCACTCTCCGTTGTCCAGACACGGCACTCTCAACCACGACGCGGCTTAGCTCCTTGTACATCCCATCAATTTTGTCGGCCAGCAGGTCGTGAATCTTGCGAACTGCCATGCCTCCGAATTTGTGGTAGAAGAGGATCGCTCCAAACCCAAACAGGAGGATTCCCACCACCAAAATGCCAAAGATATATACGTCTTCCGAATCTTCAATGGACAGGGTCGACAGACAGAGGGGCTGAAACTTGTTCCAGCTGTCAAGAGTATACCCCGCTGGTGAGGTCCCGTCCGGGCACACGGGCTCTCCAGACCCACGCTTACGTGTTGAAAAGATAGAATCAATTGCGTTGAGGGACCAATTAATCATTTCCATTCTGTTAAAGTTGTCTGTGGCAAAACTCCAGGAAAAAAGACAAAAACAGGAGATAGCAAGCCGTTCAGAAGCAGGAGCGGACTAAGACACGTCCTTGCTCGACGGAGGAGGAAGTGAAAGAGCCAGTCATGAGCCGCTTTAAAACGAAAAGCCCTCTTTCCCACCTCTCTTTGTACAATGGGGATTCTGAAATACGGAGAATTCAAATTTCTTAAAGAATGTGTGGTTCTAAATGGAACCATATGTTGTTTTAGGTAATCAGGTATATCAAGGTAAATACATTTATACAAGAAGATAAACCAATGAAACTGTCTTCTTGCTTTGGGTTGTAACCAACTCAGTGAAGAGTATAGGGAGCAATGATGAGTGAAATAAGTGCATCGGAGTGTGAATCTGCAGAGTGAGTTTGTGAGAGTGGTCAAGGGCACTACTGATACATACAGTATCAGTAGTATGTTGATAGACTACGTCACCGTAGTCAATTATTGGCAGCACAAGTTGCTGAACTATTCTTTTCCTGATGTCGAATGTGAAACAACTGCTTGACCTGCGAAGCTGAGCCAGAAGAGCATGGGTTTTATTTAGTATATGATCTATGTGTGGTTTGAAAGAGAGTTTTGGGTCAAGCCATAGCCCGAGATACTTGAATACTTCAGTGTTTTGCAGAAGAGTTTTATCTAAATATTGTATTGAAAGATTTTGTAGGTTCGTCCCCGCTGGTTTCCTGAACAACATACTGTATGACTTTTTACTGTTCATAATAAGATTGTTTTGGATAAGCCAATTTTGTAAATGGTCAAAGTCATTTTGAAGGGATTCCTGTATGTGATAAGTAGGAGTTGAACCACAGCAAGGAACTATTGGGTAGACATATTGAATATAGCTTGTCCAGTAAGAGGGAGTGGTCAACAGTGTCGAAAGCCTTGGTGAAGTCCATGAAGATAGTTCCAGTGATGTTTTGATGTCGAGTGCAGTATACAGTATATGTCATTTGAGAGATTAACAAGGGCTGTAGTTGTGGAATGATTAGGTCTAAATCCAGATTCTGTTGATTTTCCAGCCACTGTGCCAGTCAAATAAACAAGACACGTGAGTGCAGGTAAAACCAGCTGAATAGATCTTTAATACAGTATGTAACTAAATACTTTTCCACAGTAACTTTTCCAACACTGGTGGTATGTGAGAATGTGGAGCAAAGTCAGATCTCACCGCAGTGACATTGTCAGCAGATTCTTAGATAACAGAGTTTCCTGTTGTGTTTTTACAACCCTTTATTTTGGTTGCATCGTAAAGGTGTGGAGGACACCTTTACGAGGATTGGGATGCACAGTTAGTACTTGATACAACCCGTTATAGACTACGTCTACCTTTTCTGTTTTGAAACATAAACGGTGTTTATGTTTATCTGGACAGGCTGATTAATTAGAACGGTGTATATTGAGTTACGTTATAACTCAGATGAAACATAGCCCTATGAGACAGCCCTTGTTTTGTCACTTCATCTAATTCACAAAATGGTTGATAGATAACAATAATAATAATAATATTATAATGTCAGAAATATGTACATTCATCAGGGAAAAAAAACTGTTGATGAAAGCACCTGGTTTGTTTGGAAAGTGATTTATAAATAAGTTTGACCATTGACTGTCAAAGTGAAGTACACATAGGAGCTGGTCTCCTAGTCCCTCCTCTGAGTACTAAGACTCTTGTATTATCTCTGTCGTGAGAAGACACACAGAGGGTCCCTCCGGAGGGACGTTTTCATTTTTAAAATGTTCTGCTGGCAATAGCAGATGTATTTTGAACTTCTAACCCAGAGGGCTGTAAATGATTTTAAAGCTTATTCTCCTATCTACATTTATGTATAAGTGTAAACAATATCAGACTTTGCATTCAAAAGATATAACGCATAATATGGGCACAAAATAAATCACATCTGTATAAGTTTTTTACCTTTCGTCTTGTACTGCAGAAACAAATGGGACTTCCCCCATCCTTGCTATGGCTCTTTCCCTCCGTAAATGTCCATGGAAAAAGAACATCCACTTGTGTTTCCCAAAGTATAATCGTGCATTTATCTTTAGCGAAAAAAACGTTCTGAAAGGACACAGATGCTCCTTTTTCACTGTTAGCGAAGTTTCAGCTTTAGTTTTCCCCAAACACAGGCAATGCTCGTGTTTCCCAACTCGTTAGCTACAAAATGAGACCTTCCCTGAGGAGATACGCGCCCGCGATGGCTAGGGAAGTGTTCTTTTGCCGAATGATTGACATGTCTAAGTAGCCAATAGGGAAAGCTTTCTAGCAATGGGTGGGACATGGGGGAACTCCATTGAAGTCTGCCTCTAGAAGTGTGCGTAAAGGCAGGGACAGAGACGCTCTCGGAGCAGCGCAACCATATTCATTGTAGCAAATGGAGAAAGTCAAGCCCTTGTTTCAAGCCCTTGTTTTTTCAATGATTTCAGAATCCACTATTCCTCGTTAAAATTGCTTAAATCTGCCATTGCAAAAGAAATTGGTGCCTCTGTGTCTAAATTCCTTTTGTTGTAGAACTGTCTGCATCCTATAGATGGTTTTCCATTGACGTCACGCACTACCCACAATCCCGCAGTTGGCCATATTGTCAGTCAAGTCGCCGGGTGGAAGACAGAAGTGATTTACGGCCTGTGATATCAACTGCTCGTTCAAAATAAATTATTGATTGAAAGAAATATTGCATCATACACATCATGATCTTTTTTATTGTAAAAGTGAAAATCTCCGATCACTCTCAATTTCTCCAAGGATCTTGCCTCACAGATTACTCCAGTGTATCATTACACTCAACGCGGTCAGTGTCGGCCGAATTCATGGCTTTAGATGACATGGGGACAAATGATCCGTGCAATATAAGCCAGACATACAACATGGCGTTCGCACAAATAATTATGGGTAATAAGCACGTGATGGAAAACCATCTTTTCTTATGTGTCTGTTTAACATCAGCCTCAATTGTACTATCCCCAAGTTAATGCATACATTGTTTTATTGTTCTATGTCATGTCCCCTCTGCAAGACTTTGAGTCAATAAAGGAAAAAAAAATAATAATCTCAGCGCAGCGCATATATTATATGCATTTACACTCATAAAAAATAAACTTTTAATTTTTTTAGGAAAAAATCACACAGATTAGTAACTTATAAGTACCAAAAATAAAAGATGTTTTTTTATGATGATGAAATGTCAGTAAGGCAATTTGGCACACTTTGTGCACACTTTGTGCACACTTTGTGCACACTTTGTGCCCACTTTGTGCCAAATTGGTTTTTAATGGCACTACTTAAAAAAGATAAAAACTGAAAAAAGAGAAACTGCATAAAAACTATATAACTTAGAAGTCTGAAACTTTAGACAGTTGTTGTCAACAACACAATGACCACAGGGTTTGAATATTGTGAACTTACAATGAAGTATGCCTTTTTAGGGCCTTTAGAAATCGAAAATGTTAGGCGAGGCTAAAAAATTAGGTTTTTTCCCAAACGTCAAAGGATGCAGAGTGAAATAGGAATGACATACATTATTTTAGTGTATATTTACATAAACTAGAAGGCTCTAGCTTTAAAATGATGCATCACACAAGCATGTGACATGTAAGATGTGTTTTTAAATAAGCAAAGACATTTGGGTATGCCAAACTTTTGTGCACAAGCCAACCTCTTAACATACCAAACTATTCACCTCAGGCACGAACCAGGAGAAAGTTGTGGGTGGCTCTAATCCGAGATCAATCACGTTTTGCCAAACCCTGAAACAGGAAACTCCGACCGATCATTGAAACTCCGCACACAGACACAAAGCCAGACACACACGAGGACAACGTGGGCGACACTACAGGATAAATGCGGCCGCTGCAGGACTCGGACAAGAGCCTCAGGCAGCGATGCATACTCAAGGACGTCCAGACGATGCCTGCGCACAGGATACGCTCCTCCAAACCTGTCTCCACACGGGTCTCTACACGGGTCTCCCTACGGGTCTCCCTACGGGTCTCCCTACGGGTCTCCCTACGGGTCTCCACACGGGTCTCCCTACGGGTCTCCACACGGGTCTCCACACGGGTCTCCACATGGGTCTCCCCGTAACAGACTACGGTCTCCCCATGCGTTTCCAGATGCGGCTGTTGCGCACGGTGCGCGTCATGTCCGTGTGCCTGGCGCTGCTGCTGTGTTTGGTGCTGGCCATTCTGACGCTACTGCTGTTTGGATCAGCTGGATCCGCTGGATCCGCTGGATCCGCCGGGCGCCTTCACGGCAGAACGGTAAGACCACACTGTACCTTTGCAGAGTGTTTCTGATCCTGAGCAGAACATGAGACTGCAGACCTACTGTCACTTTTGGAAGTTGGTCTGATTGTTTAGTTTTAGCACTTTGAACCATGTGTGATCATAAGTTTGGGACACAGTCCTACCTGTGTATCACTTCTGTCTTCATTGTGTTGCACCTGTGGTTGCACCACTTTGAGGCACTTTAAGTTCATAGTTTCTATCAGTTTGAACCCAAATCTTGTGGTTTATGTCGTCATATCAATCACTTCTGCAGGTCCTGCTGTGAGTGTTGTCAAAAATATGAAACAAATAACAACACAGTCATTCGTAAATAATGAGTTTGAAACTGAAAGCAGTCGCTTGCACAATTTAAATAAAAGGAACTTTGATCTTTCTCTGGTCTCAACACGTTTAATTGTATTTTTTTTTGTCATTTATTTGCTTATTTGACAAGAGATGTGTCACTTAGTGAACTTTGCATTAAATCCACTGCTAAAATAATGTTCCTATTTTACTATTATCTACAATAGTAACCCTACGACTGTAGAACCTTTGTCTGATTTACTTTCAGACAGTGAGAAGTAGTATTAATGATAATTATGATGATATTTATGACAGCCCTGTTGTTTTAGCAGCTTCAATTTTTTTCTAATCTAAACTATACAGACTTTAAAACAGATGAGTGAAACTATGAATGACTCCTCTCTCTTACAGGAGCTTGGAGGTGTTCCCAGTTTACCCGGTAAGTTCACTTCATAGTTACTCTCACACTTTCATCATTCTCACTCTCTCTCATTTTTCATGACTGTTTTTTTCCAGAGGCTCAGCATGAGAAGCTCCAGGCGGACAGTGTTTCGTCACTGCCCAGTGCCCTGTTGGCAAGTAAGCTATACAGACATTACATCACTGTCAGTGTCAGCACCAGGAAACACATTCCACGTCACACGCGTCCACATATAGTAAATTTATTCTTGATGATGCCGTGTGAATCACTGGAGTCATCTGAAACTTCCCCAATGCGAGGTGTGGCATCATGTGTTTACGCTGCGCACCACTCTGCTTACTACCGATCGGCCAATTTTATGTTTCCTCCCATTCCCATGTGTTGTCCTAAAGGAGAGCGGTGCACTATGGGAAACATGGAACAACACAGTTTCAAACTGTAATATAATGTAATGTAACGCTCATACTGTGAAATGTGCATCTTCTGAGCAAAGACATCATTTAGTCTTTAGGCCCCAGAGCTTTTCAGAAACCTCATAAAGATATAAGATATAATCAATAAAGTAAAGATGTGAGACAAATGTTTGTATAAAAAGTGTCCCGGATTCAGGAGTGAAAGTAGTAATTCTGATATTTAACTCCTTGAAGCGCTAAAGTAGCAGAATGACTACATACAGATGATCAGTGTGAATGATATTAACCTGAGTCTGTTGTCTCCTGCAGTTTCTTCAGAGTGTTGCTCTGGCCCTAAGTTCTCGAACAATGGGGTCGGTCACATTCTAGGAGGCATGGCGCTGTCCAATGGAAACCTGAGCGTGCCCAGTGACGGCCTGTACAGGCTGTACCTGCAGGTCACCTTCGACTTCGATCAGTGTGACTCATGTCACATCAAGGAAATGTGCGTCGACGACTTCCTGCAGCTGAAGATCTCTGTGGAGCGCTACGCTGGCAGCTACAGGGACTTCAGGACGCTGCTGGAGAGCCAGGATACCATGAGCTGCAAACACGACTGGACTAAGTCTATAAGCACCAGTGGGACCTTCAGGTTGGATGAGAAGACTGTGCTGAGAGTGAAGCTGCAGCATCAGCACCTGGTCGACACATACGAGACTAAAACCTTCTTTGGGGCTGAGCTCATCCCTGGAACTGACGCACAGCACCAACTATAAACTCAGACTACTCTGGAAAACATTTTGCACAAATGTTGCTTTTGAAAAGAACATTATTTACAGAACTATGCTATACATTTTTATGTCCACAAGTACCATATACATGTACCATATACATGTGTATGTATACAAGTACCATATACATGTACCATATACATGTGTATGTATACAAGTACCGTATACATGTGTATGTATACAAGTACCGTATACATGTGTATGTATACAAGTACCGTATACATGTGTATGTATACAAGTACCGTATACATGTGTATGTATACAAGTACCGTATACATGTGTATGTATACAAGTACCGTATACATGTGTATGTATACAAGTACCGTATACATGTGTATGTATACAAGTACCGTATACATGTCTGCTTTTGTTCAGTTTACACTAACCTACGCACCTTTATCCTCATTTCTGTTACGTTCCGTTGAGTACATTTGTTGGAACTACTTTTCTGACGGCTCTGAATACTACTGTTTGTAATGATCTCAGGTCTATACTCTTCTGTTTGTGCTTGCCTGTTGTAGTTTAAACTATTATTTATAGATGACCTATTATTTAAACTAATTATAGTACCTGTAGTAAATATATATGTAATTATGAAATGGGTCATTTAAATGAATAATATTGTGACAAAGTTCCTGCCAGACAAGTTTAGCGTTGATAACGTCTTTACAGGATCCAAACAGCTGCAACCGTCCGAGGCCGAGCTCAAACGGAAACAATAGTTTTTATTATGACTATTACTGTAGACGTTCCAACTGTCAAATAAAATAACACTTAAAAGTAGTTATGTTTTACTTTTTGCCTTAAGTGAGGTGTGTGTGTCTGTGTGTGTGTGTGTGTGTGTGTGCGTGTGTGTGTGTGTGTGTGTGTTTGGGTGAGCGTGTGTGTGTGTCTGTCTGTGTGTGTGAGCGTGTGTCTGTGTGTCTGTATTTGTGTGTGAAGGGGATTGGAAGTAAAACATGTACAAACATTGTTTTTTTATTCTTTGGATTTGTGTTGGATATCCTTATTGAGTCATCTGCAAACTTATAATTTAATTTTAAAAAGTACAGTCAGAGAGTAAGAATTAGTACATACAAGAAAACTACGGAAAAGCACGGTGTGTTACTATAAGTACAGTGTAACCTCAATAAACAGATTAGATTAGATTCAACTTTATTGTCATTACAAAGTCAGAACAATGCAACAAAAAACAGTTTAGCGTCTAACCAGTGCAATAACGCAAGTATGGGATAATATTCACAACACAGATAACTACAGGTACTGGTGATGACATTAGACACAGGTACTGGTGATGACATTAGACATAGGTACTGGTGGTGACATTAGACATAGGTACTGGAGGTGACATTAGACATAGGTACTGGAGGTGACATTAGACATAGGTACTGGAGGTGACATTAGACATAGGTACTGGAGGTGACATTAGACATAGGTACTGGAGGTGACATTAGACATAGGTACTGGTGGTGACATTAGACATAGGTACTGGTGGTGACATTAGACATAGGTACTGGTGGTGACATTAGACATAGGTACTGGTGGTGACATTAGACATAGGTACTGGTGGTGACATTAGACATAGGTACTGGTGGTGGCATTAGACATAGGTACTGTTGATGACATTAGACATAGGTACTGGTGGTGACATTAGACATAGGTACTGGTGGTGACATTAGACATAGGTACTGGTGATGACATTAGACATAGGTACTGGTGGTGACATTAGACATAGGTACTGGTGATGACATTAGACATAGGTACTGGTGGTGACATTAGACATAGGTACTGGTGGTGGCATTAGACATAGGTACTGGTGGTGACATTAGACATAGGTACTGGTGATGACATTAGACATAGGTACTGGTGATGGCATTAGACATAGGTACTGGTGATGACATTAGACATAGGTACTGGTGGTGGCATTAGACATAGGTACTGGTGGTGACATTAGACATAGGTACTGGTGATGACATTAGACATAGGTACTGGTGGTGACATTAGACATAGGTACTGGTGATGACATTAGACATAGGTACTGGTGATGACATTAGACATAGGTACTGGTGATGACATTAGACATAGGTACTGGTGGTGACATTAGACATAGGTACTGGTGATGACATTAGACATAGGTACTGGTGATGACATTAGACATAGGTACTGGAGGTGACATTAGACATAGGTACTGGTGGTGACATTAGACATAGGTACTGGTGGTGACATTAGACATAGGTACTGGGGATGACATTAGACATAGGTACTGGTGATGACATTAGACATAGGTACTGGTGGTGACATTAGACATAGGTACTGGTGGTGACATTAGACATAGGTACTGGTGGTGGCATTAGACATAGGTACTGGTGGTGACATTAGACATAGGTACTGGTGGTGGCATTAGACATAGGTACTGGTGGTGACATTAGACATAGGTACTGGTGATGACATTAGACATTAGACATAGGTACTGGTGGTGACATTAGACATAGGTACTGGTGATGACATTAGACATAGGTACTGGAGGTGACATTAGACATAGGTACTGGTGATGACATTAGACATAGGTACTGGTGGTGACATTAGACATAGGTACTGATGGTGGCATTAGACATAGGTACTGGTGGTGACATTAGACATAGGTACTGGTGGTGACATTAGACATAGGTACTGGTGGTGACATTAGACATAGGTACTGGTGATGACATTAGACATAGGTACTGGTGGTGACATTAGACATAGGTACTGGTGATGACATTAGACATAGGTACTGGTGGTGGCATTAGACATAGGTACTGGTGATGACATTAGACATAGGTACTGGTGGTGACATTAGACATAGGTACTGGTGGTGACATTAGACATAGGTACTGGTGGTGACATTAGACATAGGTACTGGTGATGACATTAGACATAGGTACTGGTGGTGGCATTAGACATAGGTACTGGTGGTGGCATTAGACATAGGTACTGGTGGTGACATTAGACATAGGTACTGGTGGTGACATTAGACATAGGTACTGGTGATGACATTAGACATAGGTACTGGTGGTGACATTAGACATAGGTACTGGTGGTGACATTAGACATAGGTACTGGTGGTGACATTAGACATAGGTACTGGTGATGACATTAGACATAGGTACTGGTGGTGGCATTAGACATAGGTACTGGTGGTGGCATTAGACATAGGTACTGGTGGTGACATTAGACATAGGTACTGGTGGTGACATTAGACATAGGTACTGGTGATGACATTAGACATAGGTACTGGTGGTGACATTAGACATAGGTACTGGTGGTGACATTAGACATAGGTACTGGTGGTGACATTAGACATAGGTACTGGTGATGACATTAGACATAGGTACTGGTGGTGGCATTAGACATAGGTACTGGTGATGACATTAGACATAGGTACTGGTGGTGACATTAGACATAGGTACTGGTGGTGACATTAGACATAGGTACTGGTGATGACATTAGACATAGGTACTGGTGATGACATTAGACATAGGTACTGGTGGTGGCATTAGACATAGGTACTGGAGGTGACATTAGACATAGGTACTGGTGATGACATTAGACATAGGTACTGGTGATGACATTAGACATAGGTACAGGTGGTTGCATTAGACATAGGTACTGGTGGTGACATTAGACATAGGTACTGGTGATGACATTAGACATAGGTACTGGTGATGACATTAGACATAGGTACTGGTGGTGACATTAGACATAGGTACTGGTGATGACATTAGACATAGGTACTGGTGGTGACATTAGACATTAGACATAGGTACTGGTGGTGACATTAGACATAGGTACTGGTGATGACATTAGACATAGGTACTGGTGATGGCATTAGACATAGGTACTGGTGATGGCATTAGACATAGGTACTGGTGATGACATTAGACATAGGTACTGGTGATGACATTAGACATAGGTACTGGTGATGACATTAGACATAGGTACTGGAGGTGACATTAGACATAGGTACTGGTGGTGACATTAGACATAGGTACTGGTGGTGGCATTAGACATAGGTACTGGTGATGACATTAGACATAGGTACTGGTGATGACATTAGACATAGGTACTGGAGGTGACATTAGACATAGGTACTGGTGGTGACATTAGACATAGGTACTGGTGATGACATTAGACATAGGTACTGGAGGTGACATTAGACATAGGTACTGGTGGTGACATTAGACATAGGTACTGGTGGTGGCATTAGACATAGGTACTGGTGATGACATTAGACATAGGTACTGGAGGTGACATTAGACATAGGTACTGGTGGTGGCATTAGACATAGGTACTGGTGGTGACATTAGACATAGGTACTGGTGGTGGCATTAGACATAGGTACTGGTGGTGACATTAGACATAGGTACTGGTGGTGGCATTAGACATAGGTACTGGTGGTGGTTGCGAGCCGTGAGAAGACAAAAGTGACGCCAGAATGAACTCCTTGCGAGGCTGGAAAAGTAATGTTTATTTTAAGTAATTTATATTTTTCTGTATATAGCGCCTTTCACAGCCCAGAGTCACAAAGCGGTTTACTATTGTTATTTTTTTGTCTCTCACTCCACACAGAGATGGGAGCGGGGCCAGTACAGGAGGCAAATGCCAGACCTATTGCACATGTTTTTAGTGGTAGGGGAAACCGGAAACTCCGGTGGAGTTTCCAGCGTGGACATCCACGCGTGGACAGCGTCACCAGCCCTCCAATGGAGGGCTGGTGCTCTGTGACTGGGTGCAGCTCTGACTGCCACCCCCCCGACCCAGAAATGGATTAAGGGGAAGAAAATGGATGGATGGATGGATGGAAACCGGAGTACCCGGAGGAAACCTATGCAGACAAGGGGGCGAGAGTGCTATCCACTCAGACACCGTGGCCCCTAAAAGGGATAGTTGTTGGCCGAGGATGAGAGGGGCCGGCTTGGACAGGCTGCAGCAGGTGGTCTACCAGACTG